GCACACCTGCACTTTAGTGTTGTGAAACCTGCAATGAATTTCTTTTTTTTGGCCACCTGAAGGCAGCAGAAACAAGTTGACACAAATATATAAACTAACATGTCACACGGTTTAATAACGGGGTTCATTGATGTGTTTTAATAGATTCTGAACAACGACAGAGCACTATGACACAAAATAAATTAACCTCAGGTAAAACGTGCTAGTTGGATCAATAAGTTGATGATTACATAGTTTTCAGGGATTTGATGACAACAAGACAAATGTATAATACCTGTCCTTCAGTTCTCCTTTTATCTCTGGTTTGGTCTCCACCAGATCCTGAGAAAAATTGTTTTAGGTCTCCCACTATCTTCGCAGCTAGTAGCAAATTGTCTGACGTTTTGTACTGGGCAGGAACACAGTACATTTCTCTGAGTAAAATTGACTCAAATTGAAGAAAATGTTACTCTAAAAATATTACATTTGGTCCCAACCTATATAGAGTAAAATGTACTCTTTGATCAGAGTTGTATTTTTAGAGTTCATTTTACTCTATTATGTGCTTAGATTTGACTCTGCTTAATGGTTATTTACTCTATGTAGTGTATATTAAAAACAACTCTACTGTCATTTTACTATTAATAGAAGGTCATTTTACTCCCAATCGAACGTCATTTCACTCCAACTAGAAGGTCATTTTACTCAGAATAGAATAAATGAACCATAATGATCTTTACAATAAAAAAGGTCAATAAACCAAAGTGCTTAAGGAACATGAGTGGGCGTGTGTGAAGCTGACCATTGAGCGGCCCGACCAAGCAAGGAGGCAGAGGCTGAGGGTGTTTCTCAATCGCGAGTATGCTAGCACATGTCTTCCGAGTCACTTGCTTCAGAAGCTAGGCAAGAATCCTTCCTGGCATTCGGAAAACGAAGAGTGGAACAGGCTAGCAAGTGTGCAGGTGTGCGTCATATGAGAGGCCCCGCCTTACATCTTCCGCCACAGATTTGGGGAAATTGGTCCGTGCGCAAAGCATTGTGGGGATTTTAAGGACGCGAAGTCTACCCATGTGCTGCCTCGAAATTTCCCCCAAACCAAGGACGCAGCCTCGGTGGAATTCCAAGTATGCTGGACATTGGAACGGTCCTGCTGCGCCACTTGATGACGTAGTATCCTTGAAATATTGGCTTGGAAGCCAATATCCTTGCGATTGAGAAACGGCCAGAGAGTTCAAATACAACCCGGTGTGGGCATTTATTCATTGTTGTGGTACACAACACATACACAGCCTCAATATGACTGTCTCACGTGAACACAGTCACCAGCAACAAGAATCTCACACACACACACACTAACAGGAAAACAGAACCTAAATGATTTACACACAGGACTAATCAAACCAACAAGACACAGGTGAGGAGGGAGGAGAAAACACAGCGCACCAGGTGAACACAATCACCAGCAACAGACAAGACGGGAGGGGGAACACTTTTCAAACTAAAACAGGAAACAGAGACAGACAAACTAAAACCTAGACAGATCGTGACAAATATATGCATAAATTACATATATTCACATGCTTCCTGTGCAATGTGGAACAAATGAATATACTTCGCCAATATTGAAGCTACTGTATATCCTACGTAACGGAGGCCGAGATCTATGGCCCCAGAGATCACCTCCGTTACAGCGTGGTCATGGTTTAACTGCAATAGAATTGACTCTGCATTTTTTTATCGCACTCTAGAAGCTATGAGTAATAAATACACTCCAAAATGATTAAATATCACTATTTCAGAGCAAAATAGTAATTACTCTGGAAAAAATACTCACCAATATTTCCTGTGTAGATTTGTAACCCTTAGATGCATAAGTGGGTCTTTTTTGACCCGGTGAGGTGGTTTTCTTGAAGTATCTTTGTAATTACATTTTTGTATCATTTCATATTCCAGCTATTCCTCAAAAAACATGTTTTGGATATCATGCCGTTCAAATTTTAAATGTAAACGTTATACATTTTATGAAATTGTAGTTTTTGTATTACTACCCCAAGCTTCCATAAGTGGGTAAAAAATGGGAACCTTTGATTCTTGTCACCTGTGGCTGTCCGGAATACATTCACCGTAGACCACACAGACTACATCAGAAGTGACACCTCTCAGGAAGATTATTTTACTCAGCAAGATCTGATACCTGTGTCAGTATAATAATAATAATAATAATAATACATTATATTTTTATAGGGCTTTTCAAGGACTCAAAATTGCTTTACAATATAAGGTTAGGGTGGGGGGTATTAGGACTATCAAACTTGATCAACCGGCATGAATTGATGGGGGGTGGGCTATGAGTAGACAAGAGGAGAAGAGATGAGTTTTGAAAAGGGACTGGAATACTGTGAGGGTCTCAGAATAGCGGAGATCTTTGCATCAATATGTTCAAAACGTTTTTTTTCAAAATGTAAAACAAATGTCTAAAATTATAAATAGTGAAACATTTAATATAAAATATTTCTAGTGTGAACCAAAATATAATACTAAATATTATACCAGTGATTTTTCTTAACCAAAATGACAAAAATGGCATAAAAACACATATTATTCTAATACGGTTCCTTTTTGACCCACTTATGGAAGAGTGTAGGGTCCAGTCACTCGTGCATCAAAGGGTTAAGAGCACGGTCTTTACTACAAATGACAATGCCCAAAACGTTATGTGAACATATTGAATTGAGCTATTAGGTATTAATGTTGACTCTGTTAAAACTGATACAACTGTTTTGAGAACTCCGCAGCACTGCACCATGTCCCTGGTACAGTTGGACAGCTCAGCGCTAAATGACGGACGCAGCAGGCTGTTGTCGAGATTGAATCTGTGACCTTTCGCAGACAAGTAGCTCTTACCACTAATCCATCCTGCTGCTCTTCAGCTGATAGCTAAAGTGGTTGGCCATGTAACAAATCTCTGTGGTGACCCTGACCCAAACCATTGATCACACTGATTATAACAATAATCTATCCGCATTTGTTTCTATACATCAGCGCGGTAAAATCCTGTCAGTGAAAAGGACAATTTTTGGCACATTTATTGAATTATTCAAATAAAGCAAATGTGACTTTTTTATATCTAAAATACATGAATACCAGTGGGAAAATATATTATATATTTATTCAGTCATTATCAGGTATTGAAAGACATGAATGATTGGTTTAAATTCATAAATACATTTAATGACATGATATTTTGTTATTTTTATAACAAGCTGCATAAAATACATTGAATCAGGATCTTCAACTCAATTTCATATTAGAATGAAGAATATTTGACTATACATTTCTATGATTGTACAATTAAATGTTGATTTAAAATAACCATTTACAGCAGGGCACACGGTACAGAGAAGTTGCTGCTGCTGCAAGCTTGTGATGTTTGCTCAGTTTGTAGCCATCAGTCTGAAAGGAGTTACACTGACGTTGTGTGTCATGATTTGCAACATTTTTCTGGGTAAGTGATTTCAATATGTTCTTGTTCAGAATACTGTCTTACTTTTCAGAAGTCTCAAGATTTGTTGTAACTCTCCTGTGAATTTGAACAGGCAATTATTATTTGTTCAACTTTCAAGCACATGGAGAAAGCTCTAAACACATTACATGATAAACAACACTTTTAAATCATTATACATGTAATTATATTGAGAACAAGCATTTAAGTATTTTAAGCAACCCAGCTCAACCAAATGTATATGTTCCATATGTCTTTATATTATGTTAAACAATGTTGCAGAATAATTAAAAATGAGTTTATGTTGCTGAATTTGAATCAAAGTACATACATGTATATTTTTTGTATTGGTGTTGTGATTTTACATAGTAAATCATCATCATGTTTTTTTCAATGTCTTCATGCTCTTCAACTGTGACACAGGAACGCTAGAAGGAGATGTACAATAAATGCCGATTGTGAATCTCATTGAATCGCAGATAATATCCGACAAGAGAAGGAATAACTGTAAACCACTGAAACAAGCTGTGTAAGACTTTAACTCCCCTTAGGGGCATTTTTGCCACAAACTCTATAAAAGGGCCTGGCTGCATGTTCACGTAACACAGCCCTGTTGACAACAGAGGGCGACAAAAGCTCACAGAAAATGAAGATGTGATGAGAAACACAGATTATATTTTACATAGCCCTCCTGTCCCATGCCTGTCTAATAGCAGACCTACAGTACTGTGTCAGGATTGGTAAAGTTGCATTTTTTATTTTGTTAGGTGTTAATTATATGATTAACTTGTTGGTCCAAGCAGTGCCCTCATTTAAAGAGTCCAATGTCATTGTCCGGGTCATATTTTGCCAATGGATCATGATCATTGTACACAGGGGCGCCACCAGGGATTTTGGGCCCCATGAAAAGATATCACATTGCTTACTTAAACATGTTTTTCTTAATGTTCTAAAATAGTTTGGGCCCCTGTCAGTCACGGGCCCTTAGAATCATCCTAACTTTTCACCCCCTTACGGCGCCCCTGATTGTACACCTGGTTGAGAACCTTAAAACCTTTAGTAATTTACAAATGTATAATTTATCTGCTTTCATATAACTCAAAACAAAGCATAATTTAAAGGCAGATTACGTTTTTACATTCATGATCAGATAATCTTTCTCAATAGTTCATAAAATGTTGTTTTTATAACCAACTTTTTCCCTCAAGTTTTTGCAATGGATAATAACGGCCTGACATGCATCCTGTTACCCTCCAACCCTGACTATGCTCATGAAGTTGATTTGATTGACAGCATGCAAATCAATGACACTGTGTTGAACTGTATTTTCTCCACACAGCAGATGTTCCCTCCCTCAGAGGCAATCCTCAGTTCTCAGTTGGGTTGAAGTTCAGTGAAGGTCACAACTGTTTGCAGATGCACGTCTTGGTTTGCTGCCTCACAATTACATTTTTATATCCTTATGGAAAATGTCTGAGATAACTTTAACTGTAAAATGATCCGAATGAATGACGCGTCTTGTAGACAATGACGATGGGTAATTCAGCTCAAAGTTACAGTACAACAAACAAGTTGTTTTCAATGCTATTTTTTGTCCTGGATGTCAAACATTCCTTATTGCAAAGAATATTGCCCATTTCTATAAAGTGAAATATGTTCTCTCTTACACTGTGCTCTCAGAGCCATTAAAGGCTGCACTAGGCAAATTATGTAAAAACAAAAAAAAGAACGGATAAAAAAGATCTTCGTGTCTCATCAGGTGATTTAGATTGGCTGGCATGAGATCACCTCCGACCACATTGAGTGGTGAATGTAAAGTGAAACCCAAACAGTGTTCTGTCTAGAAAAAGCTCGACTTACAAATATTATTTCACATCCTTTACTATAGTTTGAACTATTTATAGACGTGTGTTGTCACATTAAGAATGTTGTGTGCTTTGATTAGGCCTGTTTTTCTTTATATCAAGGATAAATGAGACAAAACAAAAGATAGCTACCTGTTGCTATCATGTGCAAACAAAGTGCATATTTGCCTAGTGCAGCTTTAACAAACCAAGCAATTCAAATCTGCGAAAAAAAGACATTGTGAATTTAGATTTGAACATAAATCTTTGCTATCAGACTTTTCCATCGCATTCAGTCCTAACTCAGCAAATCTCTGCAGATCTCTGCAACAGGTTTCATTTGTCACACTATGGTACATTCAGGTCGTTCTACACTCCAGCATTTTTTTGAAGGCTTTCCTGAAGCTGTCGTCCAGGAAGGCGTAGAGGAACGGGTTGAGGCAGGAGTTGGCGTAGCTCAGGCTGGTTATGAAGTAGGAGATCCCGATCACGAGTCGCGTGTCCCTCAGGTCTGTCGTCAGAGCCACAATGGTGGTGAGGTGGAACGGCGTCCAGCAGAACAAGCACACAGCCAAGACGATAAACACCATGATGGTCACTTTCTTCTTGGCTTTGTCCAGCGCTTTGGCATTGCTGTTGAGCCGCATGTTCCTCAGCTTGTAGAGCATCATGGTGTATAAGATGCAGATGGTGGAAACCGGAATGGCGAAGCCCAAAATGAGTGTGTAGATCCGGCTCGCTTTGAACCAGAAACTCTCGGGGCTGGGGAAGCTGAGCACGCAGCTCTTCCTCCCATCGTCTGGGTTGACGAAGACGCCGGCGAAAACAGTGAAAGGCATGACGATGAGGATAACGAGGATCCAGACACATAGTGAGATGATCTTGGCTGCTCGGTAGGTGCGGTAAGGCATGCGTTTGGACCTCACTGTGGCCAAAACAACCAGGTAGCGGTCAATGCTCATGATAGTCAGGAAAAAGATACTGGAGAAAATGTTGTAGTGGTCTATGCTGAGGATGACTTTGCACAAAACATCACCAAAAGGCCAGTAGTGCAGCAAGTGTTCGGCTATGTTGATCGGCAACACCAAAGTGAACAAATCATCGGCGATGGCTAAGTTCAGGATGAACATATTGGTTACTGTTTTCATCTTGGGGGCTTTGAGGATCACGTAGATGATGGCCGTGTTGCCTGTCAGTCCCACTGCGCAGATCACAGAGTAGATGATCGGTAAAATTACGTAAAAGTCGAAGTAAAACTCTGAAGGTAGAGTGCAGTTCAGGTCAGTGCTGTTCCCGGATGTCAGGGTGTAGAAATCCACAGAGTCGTTGCAGACGGGGGGTGCCCCACCAGAGACAGACACATTCTCCATGTTTGAAAACACTAAGAGTCTCTGAGCATTGTGAAAACAATTTTAACCAATTTTAAATATATTACAAATTACTTTTTTTGAAAAATCATTGGTGTATTTGTTTCCCTTTTTTTAGACACCTAGATTTCACAAGATACATGAGTAATTTGGTATTGAGCGTGAAAAGTTAGTTATGCACAGTTCAGCAAACAAAAAGGCTCAATTACATCAGTGTAGAGGATCAGTCTGTAGAGCAACAGTTCCCAGCAGAAGTCAATGAGCAGCAGTCCAACATTAATTTAGGATCAGTATAGTTTCACTGTTATAGTTTCAGTTAATAGGGTGTTTGAAAAAGAGAAACATCAAATAATTATGTTACCTTTTCCCATGCACTCCTATTCACTGTACATACTTTTACAGACATAAAAACATTTTATGCATGAATATAAATCCTGTCAGATTATGTCTGGTGAAAATCTCACCCTAGTAGAGTTGGTCAGTGATTCACTGAGGATGTCCTTGATCCTTAAAACAGCAGTTTTGTGTCAGGGTCGATTTTCAAAGTCCAGTGTTGACACATCGTTTTATCTCCACTGGTGTTCCCCTTCACTTTTCCCTTCTGAAGTCGGCTTGAACATCACATTCAGTCTGCCTTTGTTGCGTTTGCCCTCATACAAGATATCCTTCCCCTCCTCTTTAAATATCTCATCCCCCGTTTCCGAAGATTTACAATGAGAATATGAAGGTTGAACGTTTCCACGATAATAGATACGAATTGCTTCAAGCGGTGGTGCTTCCTCTCGTTGCTTCATGCGCGATCCGTAGAAAGTGCCAAGGTTTTACGCACGAGTGGCGCATCCCAAAATCTGAACGAAAGAGAGACATCAATTATTTGCCTTGCACACATTTCAAACACAGCAGTACACATCGTGAATGTACTAAGATAGGCAACAGGTGGAGCTTATCCGCCTGTCCACAACCTTTATTTCTAAATCAAATATATAAAAAATATATACAACCGGTAAAACTCCTGTTTATTGAGATTGGAAACATTTTGCCACGCGATATAATTCCCTGTTGGCAAAGTTAATCTACTGGTTTTATATCCAAAGTCATGTATACACAATAACGATTTATAGATAGAAAGCGTACATTGTCAATAAAAGTATTTCGCAAATATGAAAGTGAATTGAGTTACCTCTGTCTGTGTGCCTGATAAAGTCAATCACCTCCAGTCCGTCCTCTGAGGTAAACGCGCAGCTCTGCAGCCTCTGCCCGGGTCTCTCTCTCTCTCTCTCTCTCTCTCTCTCTCTCTCTCTCTCTCTCTCTCTCTCTCTCTCTCTCTCTCTCTCTCTCTCTCTCTTTCTCCACGCTCCTTGAAGGCAGCGCCATCGACCGACGTCATCACGAGATCCCCGTGTCCATCATGTCAAAATCATATATTAAATTCTTTTTTTCCTCTTTTTGTATGGGAAGATTTTTACTACGTTTGTCCTTTGACTTCACTTGAGCTATGGTGCAGGATGTCGCCACTCTATTGTCCGTCAATGAGATAATACAGGTTTTTTTATTGAGATACAGCATGGCTTGTGTAAAACGACGGTTCCCTTAATGTGTCCCTTCAAATTAAAAAGTAATTACTAATTTAGTTTAATATACTTTCACTCCTTTTGTTTACAATATCATCTTTTGGTTCACATTTTAAGCAGCCCTTCACAGCTGTTTCAGTGAAAAAATTTCTGATAAATCCACTGATTACTACCTGCACATCCACAAAAAGTATTATTTGGTCTTTGCTGTTGAGCTGATAAATGCTCCACTATGTTAGAAAAAGAGCTAGATATAAATAAAATGGCTCAAGCACAAATGGAAATACCTGGGATGACATCACCATGACGTTGTTTGGGTTATTTTGTCTAACTTTGGATAACTCCTTTCAGAGCCGCATAGGAAACTACAATTGTTTTCCGCAGGTGGAGCAGTTCTCCTCATGATGGGTACACTTGGTAAAGTGCTTTTAGACTTAAAAGGGGGGCTTTGTTATGTTTTTCAACTTAATGCCTGTTTGACTGCTATGGTGCTGGATTGAGGTAATTCTATATTGTTTCAAGGGGGCCTCCAGTGCCTTTATTTCAGAGACATAAGTGAAGGCGGGAGACAGAGGGGATGAAACATGGCAAATGGTCCCAGGCCTTATTCATACTCCGGTCTTATCAATTGAGCTACAGTATACGGCGGCCCGAGGAAATTCTATTTTAAAGAAGTTTCCGGTTTCTCATGCGGCATCTCAGAGTTTTTAACTGAACATTTTGATCACATCGGCTGAGTTTTTTCAAAGTCAAGTGTTGGCCTGGAGGGAGACACATTGAAATCTTCTGTGGAAATCAAAAACTTCCAAAACTTCCTCCATGACATGTGAGATGGAAGAAACTGTCTAACTCGTCGATTTCAAGAAAGTTTTTGACTTGCTCTTTACAGTGTGATGGACAGTCGGAATTGTATTGTCTGAAAGAAAATGTGTCACACATGCCAGATACGAAATATCCTTCCTCACTGCAACGTCTCATTCCAACTCCTGTTTTCTTCTTCTTTAATTTTTCTTAGCAGATATCCTAAAAATGAGAGATCATGGGATTGAGGCTTCAGGTCACTTTGAGCTGCATGGTGTTCTCTCTCTCCCCGTGCTTAAGTATTTTTTCTCATATTTCCTGTTTTTATCTCTTTGTGTCAGTATCTGAAGAGCATCTTTTCATACTTTGAATTGCCCAGATATATGTGCTGGTTCTGAGATAGTGTAAGCCTTTCAAGCCAAACAACTATGAAAACAGCATTTTGAGACAGTTTTCTGTTTTTAAAATGGCATTTTCTCAAAATGCGTGAATGCCTTTTTACGTGGGCCTGTGTGTGTTTGTGTGTGTTTGTCTGTCCGTCCGTTTTTTGTTGTTGTTAAGGTCACATTTAAAGGTATTTGTTCACATGTTATGTCCAGTAACTTACATTTGTATATTTACAGAAGTAAGGCTATACTGTTTCAAAATTTAAAAAATGATTTAATACAATGATTTGATACAGAACTTGCAAGACCCTTAAAGTTATGTATAGTTTGTAAAATAAATACATGTATGTATCCTTTAACAAAATAATTGTCCTCATCTCTTGTCCAAGCTGCCTTCGGGTTTAAGACACCTCTTTATAACCTTCCTCTTCTCTTTAATCTTTTTTTCCCCTTCACTTCTAAAGTGGATACGTTAAATACGTTAAAATCAACAAAGAGTCATTGCGTTTATCCGGATTCATGAAAATTACAGTAAACACTTGTTCCCTGATCCTCCTCTTTCCAATTCTCCCCTCTCTCTCACCTCCCATAAGCTGCCAGTCGACACTTTGATCCCTCGCCTCAGCACTATATTTGAGATTTACATTTTTCTTTTAAAACCACCTTTGCTTTAAGCTCACCAACTATTTTTCTTCTCGACTCTGCTGCTGTCATTCGCTGTTGTTCTGTTTGCCCTGCTGTTATACGTACCAAATATGGAAACTCAATTTATTCTACCATTCTTCTAAATGGCTTCAAAACAGCATCATTTATTCTTTACTGACACAAACTGAAGCACTGAAACATGAACAGCTTCCCTCAAGTGCTGAGCGTCAACCAAACATTCCTCGTAGGTGGCAATGAAGAAACATTTTGTGTTTTTTGTAATGTCAAGGGAGTCATTGTGATCTAGGTAACAGTAGTTTTTGATGGATCTTAAGGCCCTGACACACCAAGCAGTCACCAGAGAACTCGCCGACGCCGACTGTTGCGTCGCCGTGTTCTCCTGCGTCTTGGCCATGTGTCGCACTGGAACACACCGCAAAGACTTCAGCTGAGCACGTACGAACTGCGCATGCGTGAGTGGCAATAACTCTCCTTACCAGCAGGCGGCGGTAGTGTGTATTCGTCATTCAAAAGAGGCAACAACCGGAAGACAGAGAAGAAGAACAGACTGCGCGATATAAACAAACAACAAATAGCGTGTGCGTTCCATTTTCACTCTCGTCCATCGAAAACATGTTTCGTGCGGTACTGGAGCTATCAGCCATTGGAGTGTTGCTTGTGGAAGACATTCTCAAGCAACCGATTCGCTTCTCATGCACTGATTCGCTAGCTGAACAGCCAATCAGAGTGATTTCTTTGTCCGACTGCCTGTGGCCGACGCACGGCCGATTCAACATGTTGAATCGTCCGTGCGTCGGCCATGAAAGGCCAAATAAGGCGTGTCACGGCCGACGGTGCGGGACACACCAAATTGAGTTTGGGCGACAGGGCACGCTTCGTCGTCCGACTAACGAAAACGGCCGATTTCGGCCTGGTGTGTCAGGGCCTTTAAAGTGTAATAGACACCTGGCAGTCAGAAAACTTGAATAAAACATAAACCAGTTATATTATTGTCTGGGGCATGTAATGCATAATGACTTTGAATTCAGTAACATTGATAATGCCACTGTGTCATACAAGTTTAAATCCAGCTAATTGGTGTAATGATCAATACAACCCGACAGACTTGGTCAAGATCAATTAATTGCTTTTGTGCGGCAGGAAGTGGTCTGGAGGGTGACATTGATGCAGTGACATATCGATCAATAACACATACACGACCTTTACCAGTCAGAAGACAAACCAAAGAGTCTTTGGGTTCACACATCATTTAACACAACACTCCAACACGTGCACTTATACATGGAGAGCAAACAAGCCAAGCCCTAATATCACTGATCTGTGGCTTTACTTTTGTGTTGCTGCAAAGTGTTGCTTGAAAGTTCCGAAAAGGTTGCAAAATAAAGCATTAAAGAGGACATATCCTGCTTATTCCTAGGTGTATATGCATGTGTTGCTTCAACTGTGACATGTTTACATGCTTTAATGTTCAAAAAACACTTTTTTAACATTAAGCTATGTAAACATGTCCCATTACAGGCACAACATACATTCTATGAACCTGAAAATAATCAGTAATTTGAATATGTGTCTGCCTTGCTTTGTCGTTAGTAGACAGTTCATGTTATGGTTGGGCTCAAAAATGAACCGCCCATTTTATATCCCCGCTGATTCTGTTCAGGAAGACAGGAGCGTTTGAGTCCATGGCAGCAGGTAGCATAAAACCCATTCACAGCAACAAGCAATTTGGACTTTCCATTTCATAACCTGAATGACTTTGGAGTGTGCGAGGAGACCCAAGCCCCTGGAAGAACCATGAATTCAGAAAGAATCCATCCTGGACTCCGTCTCATAAAATGCTTCTGCTGTAATTGGATTGCTTACTCAAAAAAAGTGTTTCTTCTGACTGAGTGGTTACCACAGGTCTGTAAAGCAGCAGATATTTATGGGAGAACACGTTCAATAGCTGTAGGAAAGATACATGTGAAAGTGCTGAGCCGAAAGGAAATATGTTTTATGTGTTGAGTTGAAGGCGCTGACAGGTCACACTGGAAGGTGGTCGTATTCTTAAAAGCCCTGTCAAAAACAGCTGATGGATGGACATGGGCTTCACTTTCATGGTCAGATAATACACTCACCTGTGTGTGTGTCTGTGTGTGTGTGTGTGTGTGTGTGTGTGTGTGTGTGTGTGTGTGTGTGTGTGTGTGTGTGTGTGTGTGTGTGTGTGTGTGCGTGCGTGCGTGCGTGCATGCGTGCGTGTGTGTGTGTGTGTGCATTATCTCCTTGAATTACTTTGATACTGAAGAAAACTTAAAAAACCTGACAGTTACCAAGTTTGGAATGTGTTTATCTATTTGGTTTAAGTACATTTAATTGTGATGGTCGTCAGAGATGATTAAATCCTCAGTACATGTAGGCTACTTAATCTAAAAATATACATATCCTATGTGAGGTTGAAATTTGATTGAGTTGTGACTTTTTTCACACAAACGTTAACGGTTTTAAAAATAATCTCCATAAGACAGTGTGCCTTATCTACTGTTGCTGCACCTCCTGCCAAACTGCTGTCCATGATGATAAGCGGATGATAAACTAGCCAAACAACGGTAACTAACTCCCTGTTGTTTTTCAAAATGATGGCATACACCTGTCCCTTTCACATCATGCAGTGTAACGTCAAGCAGACAAAATCCCTCCCCAAAGAACAGACCATTCTGGTTTCCGATAATACCCCCTCTTTAATCCTTAAGCACACAGGGAGACGTCCAGAGAACGCGAGAGCATCCTGACACAGACACACAGGTGGGC